GACCCAGAGGCTAGTGTCTCACTTTCTGATCCTGATGGACAGACAGCATTTAAATATTGTATCAGCTCCAAACGTCACAACAGAAGCCAGGGAAATGTCTTAGAACAACTATCAAGCACTATTAAGTTTCACTTAAATACACATTTTAAATTATGTTTTTGTCCTTTACAGACAAAGGGGATAGAAGAATCCAAGAATTCCAAGGCAAACCCACAGTGAGTGACACATTCCAACAGACAAGCCTCAGTGAAAAGTATAGTTGAAGCATTGTTGTTTCCATTCACATCTCAAAATATATCAACATTAATATACACTCAGCTTTATTCGTTGAGCACACAGACACTTTTTATTGCATATATCCATATCATTAACTTCATGAGTCATGGGAAAGTTATAGAATAAACAATAAACTTACCTAAATCATTATAACAGACCCTTGAGTTCACTTATTTCTCATTTCTTTTCCTAAGTATCTAATGTAATCACTAACTAACATCTGTGAATAAAATTACGATTTAATTAAGAAACAGTTGACCACAGACTGACATCACTCAGGAGTCGGGTAGTATTTCTTTGTGCAGCCTGTGCTAAAGTTTCGTTTTTGCACAGGCCCATGTTGAAGGACATGAGTAGGATTAAGAAAGATTTTTTTTTTTTTTTTGATAAAAATTGTGCTTTTGATTGACAAGATTCTGTTAAGATTCTGTTCAAATGTTTTCCTGAACTGACAAAAAGAAATATGAAATTAATACAAGAATTGTCTTTCAGATTTCACATTCATTTTACAGATGTAAACTACAGTGTTAGCAATTTTTATGCAGAATAAAACCAAAGGAAATTATAGCACTTGAAAAAATTTAGCTTGTGATTTGCAGTTAGTGTCCATTCAAATTGTGATTTACATTTTTGGTGATTAATCTTGGAGCCTTAGTGCAGAGTATAATAACATGAATAGCAGTGTCAGCTTTGAAGGTGAGCCCCCTGTATGTGGTAAAGTGCAGAGCTGCTGGGAGCCTCCTGTATTTGGAAGATTTACCCTTGCTCCACTGCTGAGACAGCAGAATAAAGCACTGGGATATACAGACTCATATAGAATCACTGGTCACATTTACATGCACACCAAAAATCTGATCATCATCTGACTTCTGGAGACCTTGTATTATAGAGATATCATTTTGATTTCTACCTGTTTGTTGTTGAAGTTTTGAAAATGAATGTGGCAAAAATGAAAGAGAAAAAGTGAACATTGAAAGAGTTATGTTATTATATAAAATCCATTCTTTGTCTCCTAAGTATAACAGTTAAATCCATGTATTAACTGAAATGTGATTTAAATTGTTACATATGAGCTGAATTTGTCTGAATCTGATTCTTGCTGCAGTTGGTTTCCATGGTCTTGGCTGGATCCTCTAACCCTCAAACTCAGCCAAAGTAAATCCCCCTCCACTGCGTACAAGCACAGACAGACACACTGGCCTGTGGCTGGCTACAGGGCAGAGCATTTCAGATCACCATGGATTACTATAAGATTTTCCACCACCCACTAATACCTCTGGTTTTAAACATTTAAGCGATTTGGGACCATAATTAATATTAGATTTACTTGCATTCAACCATTCATGAGATCATTTCAACCCATGCCGAGCACAGGTTGTGTGGCCATGGATGGAACTCAAAAACAAAAGTCAACCCAAGTAAAGCAGCACATGTTCTTTCTAGTACATCATGGTTAAACATGTACATCCGTCCTAAATAAATACAGACTCATTCAACAACGTAAGATAACTGGATCAGCAGCACCACAAGGAGGCTTTTAACTTTAGAGCAGTCTATACTAAAATAATATTAAACATCTTGATGAAAGCTACTTTCCCCAGAGCCTGCAATTCTATTTCTTATGATGCCTGGGTGCCACAGTTTGGAATGTTGATTTTAAAAATATAACCTAGATAGTGTGATATTACTTCCAAAAATCATGCCAAAGAATGGGGCCAGGTGTAACCATTGTAAACAAGACTGCTGAGACAGCTGTCTAGCACTATGAAAGTAGAGACCCACCCATCAAAGGATCAACAGACGTCAGTAAATCCATTACTAAAAATACTTGCCAATCCTTTGGGATTACTATGCTTACCAAGTGGACACTGCATGCCACAAATCTGGAATTAGGCAGTGAAAGGCTTCTGTGTCGTGGTGCACCTGATCCACTGTCTAGGCATATGTGGCTGAGAGCAAAGGTGTTTTGAATTGTGTCACTCAAAGGCCTACACCATATGCTGTGCACAACTTTGGATATATGACCTAACAAATGGAGCAAGTCATTTAAAGATAGTTAAGCCAAAATAAAAAATGTAATTCTTCAAAACTGGAATTATTATTTTGCCATTCAATGGCAAACAAAATATTATGCATGCAGGGGGTGGTATCATTATGGGATTGATTGATTTTTATGTTTCAAAGACCCTGTCATGATGTGATAAGTTTCAACAACACTGTGTCCTGTTTTAAATTTGTTTTGTGTTGAACTGAGGTGCTGACTCAGACTTAGACTCTGTAGAGTGCAGATGTGCAGCTGGATGATTAGCAATAGCACCTGAAGATAAACATAACTCTCAAAGCAGCACAGTCAGAAAGGGAAAAAGACAAAAATCTACTCTTCCTCTGCCCTGTTATGCCCCTCCTTTAAGATGTGCCATCATGAGAATTTGCTGAACAGCCAATGGGAACACTTTGTTTCTCAGAAGGGCATATGATTGGCTAATCTTTTCTGTCATTGGCAAGATTTCTACAGGCAGTGGGTAGAGTCAAGTGTAGGTCAGGGAAGACTTGCTATAAGCATGAGCACGTGCTGGGCAGATATTTTGTCAGAATATTTATTCTTTAGTATCCTCTAAATATAACATCTGTTAACTCTCCCTATTGTAAGACTATCAACTGAATTAGTGTTTTCACTTATGTCAGTCTTTGTTTCTGCCATCCATATTGGGATTAGAGCCCCATTAACATTAAATGATTAATGGAATCTTGAGCACTCTTTGCAGATCCAGTACAGCTGCATAATCTAGACTAAACAAGAGCTGTTTAGATCTAATTATGATATGTTAATGAGAACTGCTTTATGAACCTTAAACAGCATGCTGCTCTTTTAAACAAACTGCCATTTCCAGTTTCTACACTAAGAGTTGTAGTAAAGATGCTAGATTCATTTGAGCTCTTCTCATCTGTTAATACAATGTTGTTATTTGAGCCTTCTAATGCCTTCATGTTTGTACCTGTCTGAGCATTGATTGAGTCAACCTTGGCTTGTGCTGGCTCCCTTCCAGTGCAGTAGCATCACTCCAGAGGTCTATGATACTCTGATAGTCTCATCTGGAGACAGACCAAAGCTGCCAATCCTATTACAACACCACCCTCTACCCCGACCCAATCATGCTTTAATTAAAGCAGTCAGTCATGGGACAAGAGTCCAAAGAGCACAATTGAATTAGTAGTCATGACTGGCCCTGGAGGTGCAGGATTTGTATTTTAATTTGGGTTGATATTGAGCATGGTATCTCAAATGTTTCACTACACTACAGCAAGTTTAATATTATTACAGTTACAACAGTAGGTTGAACAATCTACTGTGAGTTGAAAACTGTAGTATTTGCTTAAACAATTGTTATAAAATGGCTGCTATAACTATGCATCAAATGACTTGCAGAAAAGCAGGAGGCCAAAGAGGGCATAGTAACTCAATGCTGCCATCCTACAGCTGGCTGATGCTATTTGTGGCAGAAGCATTGGCTGGCAGAGGGGGGTTGTAATGTTTTGTGTCCAGATGAGCTATTGACTGTAAGCAGAGATGACTGAATGTAATCTTAGAGACACAATGCAATTTCAGCAGGGCCACTGAGACCATCATGGAGATTAGGGGCACAATTTAACATTTTCTGGATTTATCCATATTATTCATTTAAAAATGCATGACTTTAGAATTTCCAATTGCATATTTGGATTTACTTTCTTCTGAATTATTCCCAGCATACCAGTCCAATGTATACAGTTGTTCTGTACACAAGACACATAATTCTACTTGAACTCTACTCTACCTATTTCATAGACAGAAGCAGGACAGCTATGGCTGATCTTACCACCTCTGACAGTAATTGAGGGATGAATGATAAATGGAAAACATGTATCTCTTCGATTATTAATTCATCACTAATGGCTTATACTAAACAGCTAATCAAATATGTATTTATTCAATTCCCATTTTAAAGCTAATCTAAAACAGCTATTTTAATTTTGATTTTATCAACATTTTTGACCCTGATTAGGTCTAGACTATTTGTCCTACAAATGGGAAAATGTCACTGTTTCAAATACAGATAAATAATATAACAATAAGTACATGGTAACCAATATACCAAGTGTATTTAGGCCTAAGTGGCATGGTCAACATTTTAACTATGGGCGTATGAACGTACAATTTCACTAATACGTTAAAGTAGGCTGCATTTATTAAGAATCTATAGCCTAGCCATATATTTTATGTATATTTTATAGCTACATGTTAACATGACAAATTAGATTATAATTCCATTTGATAATCTGTAATATTTTCTGTATTCCTGCCGTGTTGTCAGTAGGCCTCCCTGTCGTCATTCGTGTGTATTGATAACCGCTGGAGGGGCGGGGATCTTCCATGAACCACATTATGTAAATAAGGTTCAGGAAGAGCATGTGCCAGTTAAACCGCAGTGCTGTGCGGCGTGAGACCAAGCTTTGAGCAGCGTGCAGCGCTGGGAGAGAGATACAGGAGCCGTCGGTAGATGGCGGTAACCCAAGGAAACCTGATCCAGCGGCTTCTTGGCCACCCTGTCTCAGTTTGCAGCACTCGCGTCCAGGGCTAAGGAGCTGAACACTTGTGAAGGGTACCGAAACGCGGAGAACAGGAGAGCTCACGGCGGCTCCTCTTGAGTTTTGCGTGACCGCGGGACTCCAAAAGTCATCGCGCCATGGAAGACAAATCCAACTCGTTTTCCAACAAGGAGGAAAAGGCGGATGGGAATAATGTCTTTCAAAGGCAAGACTCGATACAGAAAAATAACACAGGCAGCCAGAACATGAAGGAGCACAGCAACTCAGTGGGCTTCAAGGGGGAACGGGAAGAGGCCATGGTGGGCTTTGACGACTTGGAAGGGGCGTCCAGGCAACACGGGTTTATGCAAAGGCAGTTTGGGGCCATGATGCAGCCCGGAGTCAATAAGTTCTCCTTGCGGATGTTTGGCAGCCAGAAAGCCGTGGAGAAGGAACAAGAGCGAGTGCAAACGGCCGGATATTGGATCATTCATCCATATAGCGATTTTAGGTAAGCCCCCATTCGCTCTTCCCGGGCTGGGCAAGATGTATTTCACACTTTCACACACAACACGCACGCTCATCCCACCGCGCATTCACCTGTGCCTTGACAATCAGTGTCAGTGAGGCTGCACGCACTCTCACGCGCACCCAGGGTTTCTCATTGCGGCATTTTCCTGTATCAACAGACACACGCGCGCGACTAGGTGCTCCAGTGAGATGTCCTTGGCAAAAGCATGCTGAATGTCACGCCACGCAAACATTGGGCTCAATGCGACACAATGCGCTCCGTGCGCAGGGACACACTTTCGCTCAGACTCAACGTGACAATGCCATTGCAGCATCACGGTGTAAACATTCACTGAAGGTGGTGAGGAGACACTGGGCCTTGGCGTTAAAACACACGGAATGCGGTAAAGGTAGCGGCAAAGATAGCGGGACAGACTGCCGTAAAGAAGGCACAAATGGTCGTGTGCTGAGTTATTGAGCGAAGCACGGTTTAAATGGTGCTGAATCATCTCTAATGCGTAGTGATTATTAGCTGCCGCTCTAAATGTGATGGAATGCGTTGGTTATAGAGAAGCTGCAGATGCCACAGTGGCCTTAGTGACTCTTACTACACACCCAAGTCAAATTACGAATTGGTCATTCGTGCAACTAATGATAAACTTCTCTTCGCTATTATCGGTTTATCGGTTTCGTATTATTTAGGGAGAGAAAAAGTGCTAATTACACTTGAATACATCCCTTTGGTCCGTTGTCCTCTGGCACAGCTCATAGTCATCCTACATAATGCTAGGGCCATGTTCTCACCATGCGTCTGCCATAGAGCTGTCCATGGTGCTGATCTCGGGCCTCCGACGCAGTGAAATGTCTAACTCTGCAGCAGTTTTAGACTTATGTAAACAACTTTAGTGTTGTCTGTCCCAACTAGCTAACAAAGTATTTAAAGTGTTCTATTTGGCCACCTGAGTTAAAACCTAAAGTTTTCTATTTCAACGACTTGTTCACATTAGATCATCTGGAAAACTTCTTCTTCTTCTTTTTTCCCCCAAATAAAATATGTCACATAGCGTCACTCCTAGAGCACACTTCTGTTAGACAGAATGGCCCATGCCTTATCCTCACACATGACGCTGACTGGGATATCCTTTACACACCCACACAAGCACATGGTCAAGCGATATTCAGGGACAGTGGACTAGCACAAAAAAGGCTATTAACTGAAATGTTGGTTGTTTATTCTTCATACATGGGTAATAGCACAGATTATACTAAATACAGATTAAACTGAACAAATCTACATCTAAACCAGTCCATGAAGATACAAACTTCAAAAACAAAACATTTGCTAATATGAACAAACCACAAAAAAGGCAACTGTTAAAAGACTTTAAATTGTTCTAGATATTCTATCATTTGTGAAACTTTAATGGGCCAATTTTCAGATGTTTTTAGACACATCTTTTATAAAATGGCTCCTACATTGTGTCATCACTCATCACTCAATCAAAGTGTAGCGTGTAATTCTTTTTCACCTATTATTTATTTCCCTGTAAATGTTAACATATTTCAAGGCCTCGACATGTGTTTGTGACAAGCTTACATATTTCCAGGTAATAACAGGATCATTCACTCGTACTCTGTGATGTGTTGTGGAAGTGTTTGAAACTTAATATACTGTATATTCTTTGAACACAGTACCTGCTTAATAATTAATAACATGTTAGTAAAATTCATTATTCATATACAGTATTTTGAAGAGGCCTCATATGGGGGCTCAGGGCTGAGAAAGTCCTTTTGTTCTTGTAATAGACTCTCCAACAACATTTTTTCCAATAAGCTTTTTTCAAGTATACACTACTGTAGCCATATTGGTCATCTGCTCCATGTAAACAAAGTGGGCCATTAGGATAATTGTATTCCCCATAATCACTCTAATATATACAAGGACTATTGCAGTATTGACTTACTAGGATTTGCAGCAGTGTTGGTAGCATAAGCACAGGTTGTTTTGGGTCACTCACAGCTGAGTCAGTTTCAAAGGGCTTTCCTCAGTTGTATGGTAAATTTGCACTACCATTGAATACCCCTTTCCTGTCCAGTAAATGTAGAATTTTCTTTCATTTAAATGACATTTATCCACATTTTCGTACATTTTAAGGATTATACTTTTACAGCCCAGAATGAGCACACTCAAGCTTAAGATGACCACTGCACCGAGGGAAAGAGATAAGAGCAGGTGACACTTGAAATGTTTCTTGTGTATTTGATTTAACTATGCCATTGGCCTCTGAAACTGATGGAGTCATTTTAAGAAACATATTCACTTTATTTTACAATAGATAATAGTGTTGTCCATTTATACATCTTCAAACGTTGGACCCTTGCAGTTATTGATCACTAAAGTTACGTCATACATTAACACTAGTTAAAGAAAGAAATAGCTGTTAGACAGGTATATTTTAGAGCAGGCCCTGGTCCTATGATTTAGAATCACAGTTTTAGAACATCAAGAAATATATATATATTTATAAACTAAATTCTAAACTACCCACCACAATATTGGAGAATGATGTTAACACAACCACACCACAATATATATATATATATATATATATATATATATATATATATATATATATATATATATATATGTGTGTGTGTGTGTGTGTGTGTGTATTGTATATATATATATATATATATATATATATATATATATATATATATAAAATACCATCTTTTATGTACCTAATCTGTATGTAATTTGATAAATACATTTGCCTCTATGCTTATATTATGAAGTCCATCATGAAGTATATTCACGTCACATTAGCACTCATTTGAAAGATGAGTCATTATTTCCCTGAATGTTACAGGATGTCCTTGAATACCTATAATGATTGTGCATCATTTAGACTTGTCTCGCCAGGAACCGCCAACTGACCTGCTATTGGATTTTAAATGCAGTTTAAATATTCATTTCATCCTAAATTGTAGTTTCTACAACAGTTTGTAGCTGCTACACAACTAATATTACTAAAGAAGTTTGGTGGATTGGCCCAATAATATGCATGCTGCGTTGTGTGGTTTGCTTTGAGGAGTCCCTTGAGGTGCTGAATCAAGTCTCTCATTGTCAAGGGCCCTCTCCACTGGCCCCAGTTCATTTACTGTTTGTGTAAAAATGCTGATTACAATTCACTCTTTTGACAAACACAGTTATTGGATATAAGATCTAAGGGGATTTTTAAAGTCAAGGTTCAGTCTTAATTTATTCAAACATATCTATTACTTGGTGGCTGTTCTGCCAACAGGTCGGGCATGTTGCCAGCACCAACAGTCTCTGCACCTCAGCCCCCTGCAACAGCACAGAGCAGACAGACACATGGTCAACAACAGGAGGGGCGTCACATTCAGTTTATCATTCGCTAGCTAACTGCTGTTTCATTGTCACTGGAAGATGGTGCTATCTGTAGACTGTATAAAAAGTGTGAACTTGTGCAGATGAAGCAAGCAGTTCATCATAAAACCGAGGGCAGTGACATTCACACTGCCAAGCTCAAGGAGAGGGCCACTCCTTTGTGCTTGACTCTAAACCTAGGCTCCATACACATACACATAGAAAACTGTTATAATGTAGAAACTGATGGTTTGGTAATAACTATCCTTCAGAACAAATGTATTTAATTTAGTCATCAGGAACTGTTCATTTTCACATGTACTATGATTTTGATGGCAGCAACAGAGAGAAAATGTACTTAATGCAATGTTCAGTTGTTTAAATTATGTGCCATTGTGTATAAAATTGTATATTATTTATTAAATTCTAATCCAGTGTCTGTGTGCTCTCTTGCCAGGTTCTACTGGGACTTGATAATGCTCATCATGATGATGGGAAATCTAATCATCATTCCTGTCGGAATAACCTTCTTCTCAGAGCAGACTACCACCACCTGGCTGGTTTTCAATGTGGCCTCAGACACCATCTTTCTGGTGGACCTGGTCATGAACTTCAGGACTGGGATTGTCAATGAGGAGAGCTCTGAGATCATCCTCGACCCAAAAATAATCAAGATGAATTATCTGAAGAGCTGGTTTGTTGTGGACTTCCTATCATCCATCCCAGTGGATTATATATTTTTAATAGTGGAGAAAGGCTTTGATTCTGAGGTATATAAAACAGCCCGAGCCCTGCGAATTGTCCGCTTCACCAAGATTCTCAGTCTCCTCCGGCTCCTAAGACTGTCCCGTCTCATCAGATACATTCATCAATGGGAGGAGGTGTGTATGTCTATTCACATGATCTTGTTTCATTCTTAGTATTATTCCAGTTCAACAGGATTCTCTAGGTTTTGTTCTGGTCACATGGAAACAACCTTGAAAGGTTATTTTGCAGAATTGTAATGATATCTCTCGATAGCACTAATAGGGGCTGTCAATCATCAGTGGTCAAAAGGCTTATCTCTGGATAACAAGTGCTAATGTCTGTTGGAGCTCTCTGGTGAGTGAAATGTATTCAGAATCATGGCAATTTATTAATTTAAATTTCTAAAATGATTTAAGTATGCCTTAAAAGATAAAATATAAAAAGCATTTTGTTTAAAGTTTAAAGCTTCATTGTTCCAAAGAAATACATAGAGAGAGACAACTAACTCAGCAGTCTAATGACAGGAGTGTAGTGTGGTCTGAGTCCATAGTTATTGTTCCCGGGCAGACTGCTGTTTTGATTGGAGTTGAACAGGTCTATGAAAGGGAGGTGATTTATGTTGGAAACAGTGTGTAATCTTTATTAGTTTGTCTCTGTGATGGAGAGCATTTTGTATTTTCAGGAGTAACTGATGGTTTAAAAATATTGTAGTTCTGGGTATGTCTATAATAATTTTTGTTTATCCAATTTAATTTAAACAATTTCAGTTCCTAAAAGGAAGAAAATATGTTTTTTAAACCCCTCCTAATTAATTCCACAAAATTCTTTTAACCTTCTTTTAAATTCTTTTAATGTCTTTAATTTAAAAATTGTTGGATGTGGAAACTAATGCACATTTGTGCTAATCCTAGGCTTAGAAATATTGAGAGGATGGAGTTATGAATAGTATACCATATAATCTATTCCAAATCAATCCATCATCTAGTCTATGCCTTCTTCATTTTACTGTACTTGTTATTTAGCACAGATGGAAATTATATTCCACCTCTCTATTGTTTATCTGATCCATTAGTGAAGCCAAAATAGATTAGTGGCTTCTTATATTTTTTTTATTATAAACAAATCTTTAAAGTGGCACAGGCAGCAAATGATCTGTTGTTGTGTTATGGATCAGTGACCATTTATACAAGTAGGAAGGAAATCATTATAGCACTGTGGCATATTAGCTTTAACATATTATTACTCCCTAATGAATACAATCCACAAGCACATCCCAAACCATATTCCTAAAGCCTCTTCCATACGGTCCTTATTTAATGAATATTTCAACACCTCTAATAGAATATCTGCATATTTTGACATGGTGTGTTTGAATAAGGTAGGAACATATGGTATAGACTATTTTTGAAATAGATGGATTCCCAAGGTTAATGAAATTTTACAACAAGCCGGTACAGCATGAGGATGTCACAAAATTCAGGGTTCCTTTCACCCGAGCCCGTTTGTTTTCTTACGTAATGGTCAGTTATGAATTTTAATAATGTTTCCTGTTTGTGGCAGTTCTAGTTTCCTCTGTAATGTACAACATCCATTTGTAATGCCAGAAGTCTCAAACCTTTCAAAACTGCCTACAAAAAGACAAGAGAAAAATAAATAACGGTTAGTGGTTAATAGTTAAGTTTTGAATCTTCCCTCACGTTATGAGCCATGAGATGCGTGATCTCACTAGATGGTAGCCTGCCCTGTAGCAATAATTATATAGTGTAGAGTGTGAAGAGCATTTTTTTTTTTTTTTGTCAGTCCTTTTTATGTCAAGATATGCGGCAGAATTTCTTTCTGATGTAAATGTTTAACATTTTTGGCCTCTCAAAAATATGGTTTGTAAAATAACTAAAATAGCTTCAAGTTACTTTAAAGAGGTCACCTTTGTACATGATAACATGCTCTATATAAGACAGAATGTACTGAGTTCAATTCACTGCTGGAGTTCCTTTTTCAACTTTCTTCATACCTAAAGTTCTTCGTACTTATAACATATCTAAAGTCCTTTTTACTTATAACATATTTTCTATACAGCTTCACCTTGTTTTGTGGTTGATTTAACTTGTTCACTTATACAGGATAATTCTCAGCATAGATTTCTCTCTAACCAACCCCACCCTAAGAGACACATTTATCTACTGTAGAGAATGTAGCATTGCCTTTTGCACACTGGGATGTCAAGATGAGTGTGATTAATCAGGATTATTTAGGTCACAATATAATAAATAAAAAAGGTCATTTCATTTGATCTGTTCTCTAGGAAGTAACTAACTCTAAAATTTGATATCATGACATGGCTCATACACAGTGATTTTCTAAGCCCAAAGCAGTGCATTGAACATTCTAACCAAATCCGACACATCCACGAGAATGAAAAAGGGCATTCAGCTGAAAAACTCTGCGCTGTCGAAACAAGTTAGTTGTAAAGTGTGGCATTAGTGTTGTAATGGACGGACAAGTGCAGTGTCTCTCCAGTACAATGACTTTGGAGCAGTGAAGCCTTTTTATATTGGCTCTGGGTTTGGGACTAAGTTATTCAGTCACTTCAGCCTCTACAATAAGTCATCTCCAAGCGCCAATGTCCATCATTCCTTCATCTGTCATGTGTTCCCTGCCCCCTCCATCTTTGTCACTCTCTCTGCTCTCCATCTGTGAGGCTACCACATACTGCTGTCTCCACAAAGCTGGATGGACACTCACAATTAAACCCAAATCACTGAGATGTTTACTGCTCTGCCTGGAATGTTATGGTTTTATCTATTGACCCTGAATAAATTGTCCTCTGCAGTTGACCCAGCCTTCAATGAATATCTACCAAACATGAATTCAGTTACAGCTTTTTATAGCACAAAATACCTTGAAAAGTATGTATTCTTAGTGACAAAGGGAATCCACAGATATTACCTGTGAATTGGCCAGGTGGCATTGCCTATTTGTCTTTATGGACACAGATACACTTAAAAGTAGTAAAAAAGCAAAGCAGTATTATCTCTATGAAGTCTGTACCAGAAAGCATTAAGAGCTGTGAGAGCACAGAAATATTCATACACATATGTTGTTAGACAAGCTAATGATTTAATGTGGGTCCATTTAAATATAGTAAATAACAAACAATAACTTATTTTAAGGCAGTTAAATGCAGCAGTGCTTTGTCTCCTGTTTGTTTACATTTACTAGACTGAGAATATGCAATGCAACTGATGCTATTTGGAACATGTTTGCTGCATAAGCTGACATTAGGAACACACTGTACAAAAGTCTGAGAAAGACTCATCTATTTTGGTGATGTTACTGTCTGCGTGTTTGCCTGTAATTGTCAATGTGTTTGTTCAACCATTCATTCATTTGTTTGCTCACACATAATTATTGCGTTCCTTGGTGCTCAGGGAAATAGCAGCACACAGTGTGAAGGTCACACAGCACAGTAAACATGGTGCGTACGCCACCACAGAGCAAAGCCAACACAGGCCAACTAAGGTGCACAATTGGACATCTGGAAGAGGCTGTGGGCACTTGGAGAGTTTAAGAGGGAATTCATAATATGTAACAATTATTTCTCAAAATAACACGTGGACAAAACATTTTTTTTAAAGTATTTTATGTTTCTATGTAACATAGACATAGAAACAGCAAGTGAAACTAGGTTTTCAGGAACCAGGAATCTGTAAGAAATCTAGCCTATTAAATAATGTAATTTCAAAGCTTATAGCCACTGTTTTTAAGTCCTTTTGAGAATTTCTAAGGTTTTGAGAGTGTACCCAGGATGTACATTGTAGGATGTACATCCATATTTCTGTAACCACCTCAGCACTACAAATCTCTACACTGATTTGAAATAATGAGATCAGCAGTGTGGGTTGTTTTTTATATAATTTTACATCAGTGTTGGTATCTTTCAAGGGCGCTCTACCCTCTGCTCCTCCTTATTTCAAGGCTTATTTGCATGTATGTTTTTCTTATTATTCTATGCCCTCTCGGATTTTGGACTAACTATCCCTGTGACCCCAGTGTCTGCTTTTTATCATCTTCTGTTGGTGGCTCTGTAAATGCTGAATTTTTATCCATGTTACAAAAATGGCCTTTCTGTGCACATCCTCTGAGATTTCTTGTATTTTGTAACAACAGCCTGGCATGAGTAATCCCACAAGAACAGTGTGCCACATCTGGTTCAGCTGCTCCATCAGGTCTGTGCCAAATCCCAGCCTAGAGCCAAGGCCCTGCCAGGTCGGGCTTGTGGCAGTACCCTATCACCGAGACCAACCACACATTCACTAGGATGTGTTTCTGTTTATTAATAAGATGTCCCTACAGCCTTTCTGTGTTGACTTGACATTTTTACAAGTTTCAGAGTGTTTCAGAGTGTCCTCACATTATCACTGACACCCATGAACATACTGGATTATGAATACAAATTGATATGCTGAGTTTCTGAGGAGAAAATAGTCTGTAGTATTTCACACTAAAATTAATTATGTGTGGGTATTCATCTGTATACACACTCAAATCATGGAGACCTGCCTCCCTCCCTCAGACAAAAATCAGGTATCCATGATGTAAATCCTTCATTATTAGATCGACAACATGATTTCAAGTTCAGGTACAATTAAAGTAGCTTATTGTTTGAGTAGGGTTTGGGTTAAGATATGGGAAGAATTTTGATTAAGGCTAGGCTCAGTCTTGAGGAAATAAATGTAAGTCAATTAAATGTCCCCCAAAAGGATGAAAAATCCAACATGTGTTTTTTTGTGCATGTATGATGTACAAACACAAAAAAAAACATTTGGAGGAATATAATCTCATTTCAGTGATTCCTACAATTTTTATGTGCCAAATCAAACTCAATAATTACTCTCAATGACGACACAAAATCAGTGCAAGATACTTTTTCTGTCATGTTCTCAATACTGCATATATCACTGATGATGGCATACAGAACAGCGATGGGATTCAGAGGATCCCTCATTATTCAGTACTATACACGATACATGGCTCATAATACGATGTTATCACAATATGGTGATACATATTTTGCCAAACAAACCAAACACATTTTAACAGGATTTTTGTTAAACAATGATCTGCACAAACCTGA